AAAAGTATATCCCTTGAATAATGGTTAGAAGATAGGTAATTTTATCCATTATCAAAATATATCTCATATAGATTGATAGCTCCCTTTATAAACACTTCACAAGGTTTTCTTTCGGAGTTTGTCGTAAAACGATTTCACAACTCTTGGATGTTCATCAAGGTCTTGGCTTAAATTTTCATTATTACGATCGTATCGCAATATTTTGAATGTGTTGCCAAGTAAATGTCTTGGCTCAAATTTTCACAATTACAATCATATTGTAATGCAATTATTATCTTGTCAAGTTGATACTAAACTTCATACTGAACATTTTGAACTTTTCAAAATTTTCACTTTTATGCTTCAACTAAGCACAAGTAGTGATCGTATCACAAATGAAGTTTCATTGTCCGTCTCTAGCCTTTGAACCTTTGGTTTTCTTACATCGATATGTATTCGACCTCGAGTTCGCATCATCATTTCTCTAAATGGTGACTTTGTCAATAATTTCAAATTAGAATGATATTTACATATATCAATGGATTCATAATCCAATGATATTGAAAGTCCATCCCTTTGGATCTTCCGCATGCAATGTTCATTTTCACTCGAATTAATTGACATTTTAGAGACAATTTTTATATATATATATAGAAATGGTTTAATTATTTCTATCATATAGAACTTTGAACCTATTTAGCAATCTCAAAATACATTATGACTCAATGAAGCATAGAATAACATTTATTCCACGTTTTTAAATCTTCGATGCTTAGTCATTACTAATATTAAATGGTGTTTTGATAATGGCAAGAATGAATAACATTTATTTGATTCTAGCTAATAACAAGGTAAGGTGAAATATAGGTTCTACTTGTAAAGTTGCAACTTTTGCTTCCATCGTAGATTTTACTTGTGAAGTAGTAACATTTGCTTCTAAACTTGTAGATTTATTTATCCTTTATCCATACTTCTTCATTTAGTTCAACCTCATTCTCAATGAGACAGAACTAAACAAGACATCATATGTCCAAGAAGTAGCAATGTGCTAAATCAATTTCTATAATATACTTCTTAAATTAGAACACTTCCATTCTACCTTCCAACTATATGAGGTAGTTTCTAAACAATTGGAATTGGTCCATTTAATTGGAAACATTTGTTGTTCATAACAACTTTTAGCATGTAAGCAGTTCTAGGTTTGAGAAGTAGCAACTTGTTTGCATTCCTTGGCCCATAACTTCTTAATGCAATCCTCATATATTCCTAAACCTTTCCCATTTGAGCCACTTAGAACATTTATCTTAGGTTCAAAATGATGCTTTGCTTAATTAATTTAAGCACATTTCATGATTTTGCTAAGTCTATTCAATCATTATTTATAATAGAGTTGAATCAACTATTTAAATCTTATATAAAGTGGATGAAGAATAGCGTCATTTGATAAAATTTTGATCATAGAGATTTCCAATCACTTTCTTATATTCAATCATATTGAAGATAAGAGATTTTATTAAACTTTTATACTTGTCTTTTAGAGGGTTTGTACCTCCCATCACATTATATCCCTTGAAACACTTTTCAAAATGAAGATGTGTTGGCATTTTACTCAAACATTTTGAATAAAACCAACCTTAGACATGTGACATGGATTTCTAAAACTTGCCTTTTAGAACCATCTTAGAAAAATTGGAATATAGGTTTATGGATTATCTTTTAACCTTTTGAGAACATATCTCAACTTTATTTTTCACCCCCGAGGAGATTATATATAATAATAAAATTAGAACGACATGTTACTAGTAAGTAAACACAAATTTCAATTATGTTTAATAAAATTTAAAGTACCATAAGTGAATTAAATATTGGTAACTTTAAAGCATTCATTCAATTTAATTGATCCCTATTTAATAGAATGATTCCAAGATCCTTTATTTGTGCAATAATTGACCGGACTGAGGCCCTACCATCAAGTATTGCATTTTCAAGGTGAATAAACTATTTACTGATTACAACTCTTTGTAATTCTTAGTTGAATAATTACCCATCACATGTTTAATTATTACCCTTAGCTTCAAGGTTCTAAACGCTTTAGGTAACCTTGTTGAGTATAACCAATTAAAATTGTAAAACGTGATTTACCCCCACTCCCCGAAGATATAATATGACACCCAGCTGAGGCATGACCTATCATAAATATCGAAGGTTTCATCGGGTTTTTAATTGGAAAAGCAACCTCAATATTACCGGGACCTAGATTTATTATGTTGTGATTGTTTAGTGAACTCTAGCGCATCATCACAAAACATCAATGAAATCTAACATGCATAATATACAGAATGCATAAACAAGACATAGCATGACCCCAACCTAATCCTAAGAAACTAATAAAGCAAAAAGCTCCCACTTGAACCTTCATGGATCTCATCCATCTTGCTCCTTTGGGCCTTCCCTCCATGGATTTCTTGGATTAACTGCAACCTGTAATTTTATTCTATTCTATCTACTACTTAAATAAAATAAAATTAAATTACAAAAATACTTTATCGGTACGTAGACTGTACTAAGATTACAAAAATATATCACAATGCGCAGATCGTATTTAGCAATCTACAGGGCCATACTAGTCATTATATAGCAATAAACAACATCATATATTATAAAATTGCCACATAATAAATCACTCATCATGCTTTCCTAAACTACAACATCGAATGTTCACAATTAAGGAAACATGGCACCAAAATATCTCATATTTTTTTAATTAATGTAATTATATAATATCATATATTATTCATGACCATCAATAAAATATCATATATTCTAAATTAGTCATGAGATAGAATCAAATCTTATTTAAATCTTAAAAGTTAAATCATATTTATCCTCAAAGATTATCCTAACAATGTTAAGAAATTCTATCCTAATTACTAGCCAATCACAAAATTTTAAAACAATTATATCCAATATTAATTATAGGATAATCACATTATTTAAATCAATTATTATCCTTTTGGAATATGTTCAGAATATCCTAACAAATCTTATCCAAAATTAACCACTTTAATTATGGATAATTACCAATTTAACAACTTTAAATATGGATAATATCAGATATAACAACTTTTGAAAGAATTAACTTTATCCTAAAATAAAAGATTTTATCCAAATAAAATCGAATTTATCTTTCAAAATAAAAGATCATATTTTCAAAATATTTTATCTCATCCAAAATAAATCATATTTATCTTAAAATATTTTTAAAATAAAATATTTTTTTTGAAAACCGTGCACCACCCACCGTGTTGTGGCTAGCCAAAGCCGACCACGGTGGCCGTACACCGTGAGGTGTACGTTGCTCTACAGCGGTGCACAGCAGTGCCGCGCAACCCTTGCACGATGCTGCTGTTGCTGCCTTTGCTGACTCGTCCTCCTGCCCCACCCCGCCCCTCCCTCCGGACCACCTGCAGCGGTAGCCGCCGTGGCTGAGCCACCCAGCCGCGGTTGCCGCTGCTAAAACCCTTTTTTTTTTTTTTTTTTTTTAAAAAAAACTTTTTTTTTAATTTAAACAAAACAAAACATATTTTGTAAAATTAAATTAATGTTAATGTGGTCCAATTAATTTCAAAATTAAATCACATTCAATTTTGAAATTAGGGTTCTTCATGAAATCAATCCCCAATTTAATTTAACTCTTAAAGTTAAATTAAATGATTTGATCATGAAAAATTCATAATTTGTCATGAAATCAAATAGATTAAAATCATTAATTACATAGTAAACGAATTAAATCAAAGCCAAAACATAAAATTCGTAATTTAGGGTTAGGATTTTGAAATTTTCAAAATTAGGGTTTGGGGGGGTCGAAATTTTCGAGTGATTAGGGGCAAAGTTCGGGTCTCTTCATGGCTATTTCGAGCATTATTAAATCACATTTAATCAATTCCAAGAGTTAAATCACATTTAATATAATAATTGACCCATAATTAAATTATTCTCCCTCCTAATTGAAGTAAAATTGTGGACTATCAAAGAATTATAGTCGATATGCGTAAATACAATAGGCTAACTGATCCCACTGTAGGGAATTATAGGTACTACGCAGCGGAAAAACATGAATCATATTCATACAGTACCTAATCCCAAGATCTAATGCATAACACATAAAGAACATATAATCGTACCTTTGAAGCGTGATTCCACGTGCGATCGAGCAAGAACAATGGGAGATAAAGAACCCCAAGCGTGATTCCTCTACTTAGTCCACGAGCACGGATTAAACCTCCACTAATGCTAGTTAGTTGTGACTGAACACTTCAATCAACCTTCAACGGAGATTTGAGCCACAAACACACAACAACACCACCCACGCGCCACCACACGCGCCACCCGGGGAGGAGGGCCGTACGGACAGGGAGAAGAGAGAGAGGGCCGAGTAGAGAGAGAGAAAGATAGGATTTTTGGGAAACTTGGTTGCTTGTGTGACAATTCACTGTATGCCAATTGTTGTGTATTGCAACCCTAGGCATGGTTTATATTTATAGATCATATGTAGAAATAAAACCATATCAAGTCCAAAACCCATTAGACTCTTCTAACTATCTAAGCCCAATTATCAACATGGTATGTCATGAACTCATGAGGCCCAATAATGGGCCTCTAATTTGTTTAACCCAATACTCTTATGTGTGACCTTGTAGGATCCACTCTATAAGGCTTTGGGCCATTAAGTTAGCCCAAAGATCAATTGTCATATCTAGCACCAAACATTGACGACCCTATAGAATGGACTAATTATCTCCATAATCGTGATCCTTGATATATCTAGTAATTGCACTTATTGAAGACATAACTCCTTCAGTCATCGAGTCGCACTGTTATTACAAGAGCTCATCAGCAGAGAAGTTCTCAGGTTGAGGGACAAGCGCCGCGAACTGTGGTGCAGTTAAGAGCATCACCGTTTGCGCAAAGTATCTTGGATCAGCCAATGGAGAAAATTAAAATGCCGACTTGTAGGTATGATGGAAGAGGGGATCCCAGCAGGTAAATAACGTCCTATGAGGGACATATGATGTTGTATACAAACTCGGATGCCGTTTGGTGTAAGGTTTTTCCAACTACTCTGACAGGGGCTGCAGTAGATTGGTTCAATAACTTGGGAAATGGAATGGTCGAAAGCTTCAAGAGGTTGACTGAGATGTTTGTGGGGCAGTATATCAGTAATAGTGTGAGGCAAAGAACTTCAGGAGAGCTGATGGCAGTGGAACAACGGTGTAGACACCCAAATGTGTCTCCCCAAAACCAAACCCAGTGATGAATACCTTTCATGTCATTTGATTATCGAACAAAGCGAAAGTGTGAAAAGCCTTGTGATGAGGATTTTTTTATTAAAATATCTCTTCTTTCTGTTTTTGAAAAATTTCTTTTCTTACCTTATTTTTGAAAAACGTGCATTATTGTTTAGTTTGGTCCATGATATAGGTCCAATAATAGTGTAGTTTGATAGGGCTTGAAAATACCTTTCCAACTATATATTACAAGCCCAATTCCGATGAATAATGAGGAAGTTATGGCCAAAATACTAAACTCAACCCAAACCGGATTTTACCTACGACCCAACGATCATGTGGAGGGTCCAAAGGTTTAATCCTATTCCTAAACTAATTAGTATTAATTAGAACCTTCTATAAGTTTCTAACATATTTTAATTATCCTTTTTGAAAAGATAAGATCAAAGAATTTGAGTTAAATAAAAACTTTCCTTTTTCTTAAATCCTAATTCTATTCGAATTTAAAGATGTTCAAAGATAGTCAGATTTTATTTTCGTGACTCATCATCTTTATCCAAATTTTATATTCTTAGATATATCTTTAAATTATCTTTCCAATGATATATTATAATATTAAATCCGAGCTATAACGAAAAAGATATGAATGAGATATGAAACTCTATCCAAAACTGATACCCTTCCACTATTTTGGTCATTTATTTTTATCTACAAAATATTTTAATCTCATTCCAATTGGGTTAGAAATTAGACTTCAATAGATTTCCAAATACATATTATATGCCTTATTTGGACTTCTAGATCAAAAGATATGATAAAAACAAAATCCGCAAAAACTGCTGTCCACCGAGTTCTATTTCGATTCGAATTCGGATTCTTTTCTTATTCTTCGACCCTCTTTTTTTTTTCTGTATAAATAGAGGTCATATCTTCCCTTTTTCAATCACCAACTTCATCAAGAATTTCTTGATTCTCTCTCTCTTTTCTAAACTACCCTTTTACAAACACAATTCCTCATACATTAGCACTAGAAACACCTAGCCAAATTCGAAGTTGCCTGTCGCCCTATACGTGAAAGGTTTTAATTTCTGAGGGTTTGGTCCCAAATCTTTATTTCAATTATTTAATTTAATTGTTGTTTTATTATTTTCCTTGAAGTTACTAACGTGTGTATTTTGTTATTAGAAAGAGGTACGAGGCATCCAAGTAAGTGCTTTAATTGTTTGCATTGATATTATGATATAGAAATCATGTTTAGGATGTTATTTTGATTCCTAGTATCATGTTAGGATGCTTTTCTTAGTATGATATTTAGGGTGATTTGCTTATATCAATTATGATTCCTGTGATGCTTCCTATTTTCTTCCTAATATCATGATAGGGCTAAAGTTTTGATCTTTATTGTTTAGTGACATGCTAGGGTTGTTATTAATCTTGTTAGTATCATGCCTAGGATCTTGCTATTATTATGCTTTAACATGATTCATGATTATTTTTATAATTTTTTTGATTATGATTATAATTTTATGATTGTTATAATTATTATTATGATGATTATTTATTATGCTGCTTGATTTTTATTGTTATTGCTTGATCACACCTTTTATGCATGTTTAAAGGGAATTTGTACTTGTAATCACACTTAATAAGATAATTAATAATCTTGTTTAGGGTTAATATGATTATAATTCAAGTGATCGCCATTAATAGTTTATTTGTGCATTAATATTCAACCAACATAGATAAACAGGTTTAGGGTTAAACCTATTGATTGCATGTTAATCAAAAAGCGCACATGAATACGATCAGAATAAAGTAGAGGCCTATTATTAGGGCAGGTTCAATCTCTTTTAGGTTGGATTTGTACCTTCATCCCCGAACTACCAGTCATGGTTCAAGACCTATTGGAGTTGATGATCTCCTGGATCGTTAAGGGGTGTAACCTTCACCTCGTGAACGGTTTACAAGTTCCTAAAACTTGTTGGCGACTCTTTTTCTCTATCTTCTTTCCCTTTGGACGCCACCGTACTTTTGTGTATGACCACAGTGGGGTTCAAGTTTGGGGTAATGCTTGAAATATTCCCTACAGTAAAGGCCTAATGAGTCTTTGAGGGACTATATCAGGCGGTTTAACAATGAAGCAAATACAATTCCAAAGTTACAGCAAGAGATAGCATTTATGGCTTTGATGAACGGCTTGAACGACTTTGAGTTTAAGCGTTATCTTACAAGAAAAAAATTGCCGACATTGGCGGCGGCTTTTAACAAGGCTCATGATTACATCAAGAGTGAAGAGTTAATGAAGACAAGTAACAAAAATGTGTCGGCTGGAAAGGGTCAGTATCATTTTGAAGGTGCATCTTCAGGAAGTGGAAGGCCGAGAACTTCGACCCCAGGAAGGGGAGGGGGAAATCGGCAGGAGGTTAGGATTACTAAACCACCAATGCGGTATAGTACTTATACGCCCTTGAATACCCCTAGGGCGGAAATCTATTCGGTGAATCAGAATAGGGAAGGATGGATAAGGCCCATCCCGATGAAGGCGAGGCCGAGGGATGTTAAGAAGTATTGCATGTTCCATATAGATATGGGTCATTATACTGAAGAGTGCACACAGTTGAAAGATAACATCGAAGAGTTGATAAGGAAGGGGCACTTGACTCAATATCGGTTGAATACAGGGGGAACTCAACCACCACCTTGGCAGATAGAAAGACAGCAGCTAGAGGCTAGGCTAGAAAGACCACAAGGTGGAATGGTCCGGCAAGGAGGTGGGGGAATGCCACACACCCCTGTCAACAGGAAGAGGAGTGGACGTGATAACAGGAGGAACGGTTCATGGAGGAACAATTAGTGGGGCTAAGAAACATCTATCTGAACACCGCCATATAATCAATGCCCTGGATACCGATAACCGTCCTCAGCCAGCTTCAATTCCAGACATTGTATTTACTGAGGAGGATGCGAGGGGTATTGTTTTCCCGCATGATGATCCGCTAGTGCTGATAACAAAGATAAATGGAGCTGATATTAAAAGAGTTTTGGTGGACGGGGGCAGCTCTGCAAATGTCCTGTTCATGAAAGCTTTTAATGAGATGATGATTGGAAGGTGTAGGGAATATTTCAAGCGTTAATCCCCTTAGCTTGAACCCCACTGTGATCATATACTAAAGTGCGGTGGTGTCCAAAGGGAAAGAAGATAGAGAAAAAGAGTCGCCAACAAGTTTTTTAGGAACTTGTAAACCGTTCACAAGGTGAAGGTTACACCCCTTAACGATCCAAGAGATCGTCAACTCCATAAAGTTCTTGAACCAAATAGGGTTCGGGGATGAAGGTACAAATCCAACCTAAAAGAGATTGAACCTGCCCTAATAATAGGCCTCTACTTTATTCTGATCGTATTCATGTGCGCTTTTTGACTAACATACAAGCAATAGGATTAACCCTAAACCTGTTTATCTATGTTGGTTGAATATAAATGCACAAACAAATCTATTATTGGAGATCACTTGAATTATAATCATATTAACCCTAAACAAGATTATTAATTATCTTATTAAGCGTGATTACAAGTACAAATTCCCTTTAAATATGCATAAAAGGTGTGATCAAGCAATAATAATAAATATATCAAGCAACATAATAAATAATCATCATAATTATAATCATCATCATAAAATTATAATAAAATTAAGATAATCATGTTAATAATAAGCATAATATTATTAGCAAGATCCTACGCATGATACTAATAAGATTAATAACAAACCCTAGCATGTCACTAAGCAATAAAAATCAAATCTTTAGCCCTAACATGATACTAACAATCATAAATATTAGGAAGAACATAAAAGGCATCATAACAATCATACTTAATATTAAAATTACCCTAGACATGATACTAGGTATATCATAATAACAACCTAAACATGATTTCTACATCATAATATCAATAAAAACCATTAAAGTACTTACTTTGATGCCTCGTACCTCTTTCTAATAACAAAATACACACGTTCGTAACTTCAAGGAAAATAATAAAAAAAACAATTAAATTAAATAATTGAAAGAGAGATTTGGGACCAAACCCTCAGAAATTAAAACCTTTCACGTCTAGGGCGAATGCAACTTCGAATATGGCTAGGTGTTTCTAGTGCTAATGAATGCGGAATTTTTATATTTGAGAGAAGCTAGTTTAGAAAAAAGAGAGAAAGAAATCAAGAAAATCTTGATGAGAGTTGGTGAATGATTATAGATGAAAACTGGTTATCGAAAACGGAGTTTTTAGGACGTTATTTATAAAGAAAATCAGTCAAAAAGATAATATCAAAATAGAGTCTGGCGCACATAAAACTGAATTAGCGCCAACGCTGGCTATTGGCGCCAGGCGCCAATGCTAGCGCCAGGCGCCAACATTAACGCCAGGCGCCAATGCTAGCGCCAGGCGCCAACATTAACGCCAGGCGCCAATGCTAGCGCCAGGCGCCAACATTAACGCCAGGCACCAATGCTAGCGACAGGCGCTACAGCTGGCGTTTGACGCTGATTTCAGAAATTCACGCGTTTTCTTAAAATCAGATAGAAATTGCCTTACAGGAGGATAAAATTGTATTTTCCTTAAAAATGCTCTTTGATTTTAATGAAAACTCTGAAAAGTCAACAAAAGTCAATTTATCAATGCTAATTGAATTAGGAATGAAAAGAACCTTCTAGAAGAATCTAGAAGACTAAAACCATTCCTAATTGCATTAGGAATGATAAATCTATATTAGGCCCTCCACAAGATCATTGGGCCGCATATAAGGCTCAAATCGGGCCCAGTTCAGTAAATTGGCCATAACTTCCTCAATATTTATCGGAATTGGGCTTATAATATATCGTTGGAAAGCTCTTGTCAAGCCCCATCCAACTACACTATTATTGGACCCATATCATGGACCAACCAAACTGGATTGACTGTTTTATTAAAATAAGTTTTCAAAAACAGAGAGAAGAGAAAAGAAATTAAAACTATCCGCAACACTAAACTTTCCACACTTTCACTTCATTCGATTATGATTCGACGTGAAAGGTACTCATCACGGGTTTGGTTTTGGGGAGACACAAATGGGTGTCTACAGAAGGCAATATTTGACGCAGGTTTCTTATCCAGTTATTGGGTTTAACGGCTCAACAGTGAGACCAGAGGGAAGTATAGTTTTGCCCGTACGGTTGGGTGATGGGCCGACTGCGAGAGATGTGATGGCAGAATTTTTAGTGGTCAACGTTCCGTCAGCTTACAATGCAATTATCGGTAGGGCGATAATTCATGATGTCCAAGTAGTTGTGTCATTATATCATCTGACGATAGCTTATGTGTTGAATCTGGGGGCTGTGGAAAAAGTTCATGGAGGACAGGTAATGGCAAAGTCTTGTTATGTGACAGCTTTGAAAAATCCATCTGGGGATGGTTCGGTGCCGAGTAATCTTAAAAAAGAGTTGGAGCCAACAGTACGAGACTTAGCTATGAGCAATTTTGATACAAGACCAGAAGCAACTCCAAGGTCGCTGCCAGGTGGAGAGACAATACAAGTTGAATTACAGCCAAGTGATCCTAGTCGGACGGTAAAGGTTGGGGCAGACATGGATGTGGATATGAGGTGCCATTTAATAAGTTTGTTGCACGAGAATGCAGATGTTTTTGCCTTATCGGCAAGTGAAATGCCGGGAATTCACCCTGGAATGATGGAGCATAAGTTGAATCTCAACAAAGGGTTCAGGCCGATAAGGCAGAAAAAACGTAATTTCTCTACTGAGTAGATAGAGGCTATACAGGCAGAGGTTAATAAACTCTTAGCGGCAGGATTTATAGAGCCATGTACATACCCGGAATAGTTGGCGAATGTTGTAATGGTAAGAAAGCCGACGGGGAAGTGGCGTATATGTGTGGATTTTACCGATTTGAACAGGGCTTGTCCCAAGGATTGTTATCCACTACCCCGAATAGATAGATTGGTGGAATCCACTTATGGCCATGCTATGCTCAGTTTTTTAGACACATTCTCGGGATATCACAAAGTCAGCCTTCATAAGGATGAGTATATTGCTATAAGGCAATGCCGTTTGGGTTGAAGAATGCCGGAGCAACTTATCAGAAGCTAGTTGATAAAATTTTTGAAAAGCAGAAGGGCCGAAATATGGAGGTGTATGTAGATGATACAATCGTTAAAAGTAGGGAAAAGGAGGATCACATAGCTGATTTGAAGGAATCATTTGGGACATTGCGAAAGTATCAGATGAAGCTGAATCCAGAAAAGTGTGTGTTTGAAGTTCGATCAGGGAAGTTTCTGGGTTTTATGGTTAGTGAACGAGGAATAGACGCGAATCCCGACAAGGTGAATGCTTTTCTTGAGATGAAACAACCGAAAACTATTCGAGATATACAAAGGTTGACTGGCAGGATGGCAGGGTTAACACGGTTCATTAGCAAGTCTACTGATAAAGCGCTTACATTTTTTGTAGCTTTGTGGCAGAACAAGGCATTTGAATGGGGAAAAGAGCAAAAGGATGCGTTGGAAGTGGTAAGGAATCACTTAAGATCTCTTCCAACGGTCGCAAGGCCGGAAAGAGGAGAATTGTTAAAACTATATATCTCGGCATCTCCAAAAACAATAGCTGCAGTGTTGTTGGTAGAAAGGAAGAAGCAACAGATGCCGATATACTTTGTTAGTCATGGCTTAAATGCGGCTGAGCGCATGTATCCTGTAATTGAAAAGATGGCAATGGCAATGGTGATAGCGGCTAGAAAGTTGAGACCGTATTTTGATGCACATCCAATAGATGTTTTGACAAATCATCCGTTGGAAAAGTCTTTACACAACATGGACACATCGGGTCGGTTGTTAAAGTGGGCTGTGGATTTTTCGGAGTATGAGATAAATTACAGGCCTAGAGTTTCAATAAAAGCACAGGCTTTATATGACTTCATTGTAGAAACTTCATACAACAATGAAGAGGAGGAATTGGGCACTTGGCAGGTTTTAATGGTTTACAGTTTAAACATTTATGATATACAAATGGTTTAAAGCTTTTAATATTTAACATCTATGATATAAAAATGTTTAACATGTGAAGTAATTACTATCAGCTTATAATATGGCAGGTTTCGGTGGATGGATCCGCGACATCAACCGGATCAGGGGCAGGAATAGTTATAACGACCCTAGATGAAAAAGTTTTTGAATATGGAATTAAGTTTATATTCAAAGCCACAAACAATGAAGCCAAGTATGAAGCATCCATAGCTGGAATCTAGCTATCTGTGACGGTTGAAGCCAAGTGGTTGGTTCTGACAACCGATTCTCAGTTGGTATCCAGTCAATATTCCGGAGAGTATGAAACGCGAGAGCCAACGATGATAAGGTACATTGAAAAAATGAAGCAGTTAACAGCACAACTACAATATTTTGAAATCAAGTTAGTATCGAGAGCACAAAATGGACAAGCTGACGCCTTGACAAGGTTGGCCAGTTCAAGCTTTAATGACCTGGAAAGAACAGTTATGGTAGAAATCTTGAAGCTGAGAAGTATAGATGAAGAATCCAAACAAGTGCTCTGTGTCAGTAATGGCACGCAATGGTTTGATAAGATATTGGCATACCTCCTATATGGAGAATTACCACTTGATAAGGGAGAGTCCAAAAAATTGCGCAAAAGTAGCATGTGGTTTATAATGCATCAAGGCCAGTTGTACAAAAGAGGCTTCTCATTACCACTGCAGAGGTGCATAACAGATGTAGAGTCTGCCAGGTTAATTGAAGAGATACATGAAGGCACTTGCGGGAATCATCTCGGTGCAAGAGCTTTATCACAAGA